AATTGTCTCACTTTTACTGACTTTTACGTAATTTAAGAAAAATAGAGAAAAGTGAAGGGTCTGATTGAAATTTTTATGGAAGAAACAGAATTGTTATAAACAACATATTAATTTCTTTATCTATGCTTTTATTGGCTAAATCCACTCCTTTTATGTTAAATAGGCAATTTTATCCTTATATGCTGGCTTACGTCTAATATCACTCTTTTATAATTTTAAGTCGAAAAAGAGTCTATTAACCATAAATGCGGCGAATTTAGCCAAAACGAGCGCGTATATAACAACACCCGAACGAATGTGGAAAATATGACATTTATTTGGGACGAATGGTGTATCATCTTTTAAGCCTTATTATCCTCACTAAAACTTTTCTTCCTTTTCTCAAAGGATGATGATATGGGTGATTCAGCCGAGTCTTTCACCAGCTTTCCATGCACTGCGGGCCCCACCATCTACTCATCTCCAGAGGGCCCATCGGTGGCTACATTTGTGGGGCACTCCCCCGGGACCCGGCCCTTATTGCGGACCGGGTCAACCGTACTAAAAAAGGCCCACACGAGCGACGATGAGCTGGACGAGGTCGACTCGCCACTGACTTCTATCGTAGCGGGCCCATCTCGGGGTCGTCCTACTTCGACCGGCTTATTGAACTGGACAACCCCAAAGGTGAAGGGCAGTCCTAGTCTCATAAGGTATCAGCTGCTTCAAGAGCTGTGGAGAGAGGATGAAGATGAATGAGAAATGTTAGGCAAGAGAGGAGTAAATATGGACACACTTTTCTTGGTTAAGGTTTTTAAACTTTGACCATAGTATACGAAAATAATGTATTGCGTTAAGGTTTTTAAACTTTGACCATAGCATACGAAAATAATGTATTGCGTTATTGTATAAATATAAGAATTTTTTGCGCTATTTACCTCTGAATTTTTTAAAAATTGCACGGATTCATTCTGAACTTGAAAAATAACACCAATCCCCTCTGAACATTTAAAAATGTTGTACCAATAGTCTCTATGTGCCAGATTTGAGAGTACGTTAACCGATTGATGACGAGCTTTGATGTTTAGCCTTCGAATTCGTTCACCGATGACTAAATTGAAAATATTTATATAGGATTTAAAGATGTTAAAAATATAGAAGATAGTGTTTGGCAAGAGCAATATTGCAGAACTCATGTGTGATATATGACTTTAGATGAATTCATACTTGCATTGGATGAGCGAGTGATTAATGCACTCTCGAATCTGGCACAAGGGACTATTGATGCAACATTTTTAAAAGTTTTGGAGGAATTGATGCAAATTTTAAAGTTCACATGGGAATTCGTGTAATTTTTTAAAAGTTCAGGAGTAAATGATGCAAAAAACTCATAAATATAATATCAAGAGATTAATTTTTAATATTTTATAACGTATATCTATATATAAATACAAATGATGAGACAACAAAAACGGAAGTGACAATAGTTAGAAGTGGTGTGATAGAGGTCTCCATATGGTGACACGGGGACTTGATGTAAAGATAATTGGTCATGGCTACGATGTTTAACCCCAGTAATCTTATTTTGTTGAAGGGTATAAAAATGATCTATGGTGAAAAACCCTCTAAGAGAAAAGACTGAACTTGGAGTTTGCATATTCTTGACTATTGCTAGTTCTGAAGATTTTAAAAGGCATCAAATTTATGTTTATGTGAATTGATGACAAAATTTATGTAGTTATAATAACTACCAAAAAAAGAGACAAAGGTAGGACTTCAAACATCAAACTGTATTACTTAATGCGTATGGGTGGTTATAGTAGTAGACAAAGGAAATGATGATTTATGATATTTGGACAAAGAATAAGAATCACAATGGAAAACATCAGATTCAAAGTGAAAACCTAACTTTGATTGATGATAACGACTGAGCAACTTGAATAGACGGATCAGACGACCTATCCAACAGTGTCACGATGGAATACATTAACGACTGAGCCCGCATGGGCAGCTCAGTTGGTCGAGAACGTGAAATCTTGAACTGGTGACCAGAGATCGAGTCCCGCAAGCGGCAGGGTGAGGAGGCTCCTTGTGCGCGGTGGGCACGGGTCTAGCGTTCTTGGCCGACTCAGTCACCATGATTTACCTCCTCCACCATCCCTGTCCCGCCTGGGGTGGGCGATTCCACTTTTTGGACCGACGATGGAATACATTATCAATAGACCTTGACGATGATTATCCCTAATGTGCAATACATTCGAAGATTATGCAGTGATTCTTGTAATTGAAAAATGTGTGTTTGATTCGAAGAGTTGCACCTTTGATAAAGTTGAGACCATATATATGCGGAGTGCGGTAGTAGGAGAGAGATGAACAAGATTACGAACATGAAAAAAAATAATGAACAATTGAGCATCAATCACTGACCAAACTTCAGAAGATGGTTTTGAACTTATGAGTGCCTACCCATCTTTTTAAATTTTTAGAACAAATCTGCCCAAATAAGATCGAACCATGTAATTTAATAATTTATACTAAAATAAAACTTCCTATATTTTTATCCTCTATATACGAGTATTGATATCCTGGAACACATATAATTTGACATCATGTATTTTCATTTTGCAGTATTTTTTGGCATAATATTTTATCATTATAAGTGCTATTTTGGTACATTCTATATTACTACTCCGTATATAAATCATATTTTTATTTATGTATTTTTCTCCCTTTTCATCCAAGATCATTGGTAGTGGTGCTGGTCTTGCCGACATAGCCAAGGAGACTGAGCTACGGAGTACAAAATAATAGACCTAAGGTTTACACTATTTTAGTTGGACTTTCTAAAGGTCGTAAACAAATACTTACTATCTTAATGAACATTAATTATTTTTTTCAAAAAAAAAAAGAAAATATTTTTTATGTGAGAAGGTTCCCAAATGATGTTGACCTTAAGGGCACCGGAGATTATCCCCTAATATTATTATATTAAATGAGTAATAAACATAAAGGAAAGATGTCCATAGTTTACCCTACAAAATAAAGGTAGCTGATATTGGCGCTCCACAAATGTTACTGGCGCTCCAATTTACTTTTTTATTATCAAAATTTTACCATCTTGCCCCTCTCCTAATGATTCCTATTGCAAATGCCGTGAAAAAATACTCCTCAAAATGCATATGCCTTTTTTTTAAATCTACACTCATTCTCTTTGTTTAGAACATACCTATTTTGCTATAATATACAAAAAATCACCCTAAGTCGGAGATAAAATAAAGAGAAAGTACATAAATATAGGCTCCATGTTTTATCTCTAAAATAGGAACTCGCATTGAGATAATGTGGCACTGGCCTGACACTCAATATGACATTTCGCAGTACTTTTTGATAATGTAAATGATCATGATTAACACTATAAATGTATTTTAACTCTTATTTCGAAAATAAAAACATGGAACTTCTATTTTGTTATATTTTCAATGTTTTATTTCTACTTTATTCTTTTTTTACATGTACAACAAAAGTCCATAAATAAAACAAAAACCTACAAAAAAAATTTAATGCATGTATATACTCCTACTTTAGTCTTTTTATACATACATATTTATACTTTTTAATGCATCATATATATTTGTATATGTATATGCATAATTTTCATACATATATGATTATACTTTAAAATTTAATTTTTAATAAATACGTTTATCCTATCAATATGAAGCATCAGACTTTACATTATTTTTTTATAAGTTTAAAAATAAATGATAACAAAATATAAAATTTCATATGTATAAAATATACTCCCTCCAACCCTTAAACTCCTTTTTTTTCTTGTCCCACAAACTCTCTCCATTTTCTATTAAAAACCACTTTTACCCCTGCTAATTTTTATCTTATCTATCACATCATGGGAGAATGGAAGAATGAGTATGTTTTTAAAAAAATTAAAAAAGAGGGCGTGGAATATAAAGGGCAGTTTATGAATAGCAATTTTTTAGGACAATAGCCATATCAATTAGCCAATTACTCCGTATATATTAGTATAAGGGCAAGATGGTAAACTTTTAACAATAAAAAATTAAAGTGGAGCGCCACTAACTTTACTGGAGCGCCAATATCAGCTGCCCAAAATAAATAGTACTCTCTTCGTCCGGGAATGATGTTCCCATTGTACTTTTTTTCCCGTCCGGGAATGATGTTCCCATTCTACTATTTTATCTCTAATCTCCCTAAATTACCTTTTCTTCCTTCTTTTCTTTCTTTTCTTCCTTTCTTTTCTTCTTCTTTTCTTTCTTTCTTTTTTTCTTTTCTCTTTCCTTCTTTTTTCTACGCCACTCCTTTCCTTATCTCTTCAATTTTTTTTCTTTTTCTTCTCTCCCCTTTCTCCTCATCTCTGCAGATCTTTTGTCTTCCTCTCTTCAATCTTCTTCTTCTTCTTCTTCCTCTAATACTCTCTATAGTCTTTCTTTCTACTCCACTTTTCTTCTTTATCTTCCCCTTTTTTTTCTCCTCCCTCTTTCTTCTAGATCTACGCATACGCATGGGGACAATTGTGGCGGCCGGCGATGGTGGCGGCCGGCGATGGCGAGTCTGCGTGCACTGCGTCCTCTCTTTCTTTTTTTTTCTCCTTATTTTTTCTTTTAGATCTATACCACAATTACACCAAAGGTGGGGCTGCGCGCTGATGGTAAGGTCCCGACGGTGACGGGGTTGCGGCGGCATGGTGGTTGATTAAATCTGCAGTAGATCTGTGTCCTTTTCTTCTCCTTCTCCTTATCATCTTTCTTTTCCTTCTTTCTCTCTTTTCTCTTTCTCCCATATATGGTCTTGGTGGATGCTATGGGTAATGGTCGGACTGGTGGTGACGGCGGTGAGGTCATGGTCGTTGTTTGGGCTGGCGGAGATAACGACGCCGACAGTAGTGGTGGGGGCAGTGGTGGGGTGAGATTGCCAGCACTGGAGGTTTGGGACAGTAGTGGCCAGTGGGTGCTGTTTGGTGGCTAGGGATGGGTGATAATGTGTAAGGGTATTTTAGTATATTTACTCCCTTAGTCAATGCTTCTTAAAAATGAGGAAAAGTCAAAGTGGGAACATCTAACTTTTTTTGGTGGGGGTGTGGNCTTGCCCTTATAAAGGGCAAGCTAGAATGTGACAGAGCACCTAGACATGCCCTTCAAAACAGTGATTTACAGGCCAGTCAGAACAATCTAACACTGGTATACAGAAAAAGACTTGTTCTTCCACAAAAAACTCAGAGCTTTTCCTAGTTTTCTTTTCGAGGCCGACTTGCACAGTGGCTTTGGAGTGTCTCCAGGCTTCGCCGGATAATTGCTCTCCGGCGGCGGCGGTGGCGGCTGCGTGCTAATAACAGCCCCTCGAGGGGGTTCCTTCTGGCGGTGCCGCCGGTCCCGGAACAGCATCAACAGCTTCTGGGCTTTCTGTTTCCCTCTCGCTGTCCCATTCACAGATATTGACACCAAAGAAGGGACTACCCCTTCTTGTAGGACCATCTCGCAGCACTTTTCGTTCTTGCTGCAGAGCATCACCAGACATGCTGCAGCTTGTTCCTGTTCCGTGGGCCCACCCGAGTCCAAGATGGACGAGAGCCCGCTTATCAGGCCCGGCTTCGAGATGATCTCATCTGTAGCAGGGGTATTCGATGCCAGGTTTATGATTATCGCGACACATTTTTCGACCCAGGAACAGTCACCAGAGTGTGACAACACAGGGACAAGACCGTCAATTACCCCGGACGACATGAGGTGTGGTATGTTGGTTGGGTTGGTGGAGAGGTTGAAGAGTGCATGAAGGGCATCCAGCTGGCACTGGGTGGGGCCCGCTGTGTCGCGGCGAAGGACCCGGATCAAGAAAGGCACGGCGACTTTGCTGGCTCCCATGGCGAGTTTGGCTTCTTCGTGAGAGGAAAGGTTCAGGCAAAGGGCAGTTGAGGCAGGGATTGAGGTGGAGGAGGAATCAGCAGCTATTATTTTTTCCAGTAATGGAAGTACACCAGCTGCCAACATCATCCCTTTGTTTCTGCAAAAGGGAGTGCAATAGAACTTTATTACCACAATTCTCTGGAGCTTCATAACAGAAGGGATCAATAAGAAGGGAAACAAAGAAATGAATGGATTCGACCGGCGAAATATTCTATGAGGAAAATTTGCGGGGGGAAATATTTTCATGGAACATGGATCCTTAAATGTATATACTCTCAAGCGAAAAATATAAAGCACGAAGAAAAAATCACATTAGAAAAGGTTATATTTCAGTGACGGTACCCAAACTTTGAGTGATATATCGTTTTGGTACCTAAACTTTATTTTCTCTCACAAATATACGTGAACTTTGAAAAACTTTCACACCTGAGGCCTGTTTCAAGATTACTGATTGGTCACCTTGGGCTTAATTACAATTTTATATATTCCTAATTTTGATCCTACCCTTTTTTCTTTTATCAGATATTCTCTCTCATTTCTTCTCCAACAAAGGTGGAAGTGGAGATGCTGAAAGAAGAAGAAAAGAGAGAGAATATGAGAGGAAAAAAATGGTGGGGTCAAAATTAAAAATTAGAAATATATAAAATTACAATTACGCCCAAGTGACCTCACACTAACTTGGAAACCGGCTCCACGTACTTTTCTGAAATTTTTTCAAAGTTCAAGTATTTTTGCAAGAGGAAAGAAAGTTTAGATACTAAAATGATATATAGCTCAATGTTCGGCTACCATCAATGAAATTTCCCCGATTAGAAAAGGATTTAGAAATTTATTATTGAAAGTGGACACATTTATTTATAGGGTATAGAACAAAGGGAAGGAAACCTGTTATTATCAACACCAAGGTTAAAGAGCGCCATTGCTCCAATTTCCTGAGCCATTCCATTCCTAGCTTCAAGAGCAGACTCCAAAAACAGCATCAGAGCCTCAATAAAACCATTTGCCCCCATATATATTCTCACTTCTACATCGTCCTTCACCATATTCCTAATCTGCTCTACAGCTTTGCACTTCTCTGTTAAATTGACCTCTTGTTTTAAAGTGGTCAGAATATCATCATATCTTTCAAAGGCATTACACTGGCATTCATTATCCTTCTCATCCTTTAACTTGCAGGATCCATTGCTTTCGCCCGAAATGGAATTTGAAGATTCGTTCTCAGAGAATGCCAGCCTCCAATAGTTGAGGTCAAGAGATTCGGGTGGACCATCCGGAATAGGAAGTCCATTCTGTTCGCACCAACTACCAACCAGACCTTTCACACAGTAATTGCAAGTCAAACCGAGATGAGGAAGCTCCTGTTGAGTTTTAGGGCAAGTCTTGTGCCCGTCATCAAACCACTTCTCAATGCAAATCCTTTCATATGTCTGACCAGATGCAATTATCACCGGGTCATACATTAGCTGCAATGAGATTGGACACCTCAACTCTTCCGGAGGAGTAGGTATTTGGTCTGGTATAGATCTCCCAAAATTCGGTTTAAAATTAAAAGAATTTGGCTTTGAAAGTGGTCGTTGATCAAAGGATTGAGCATGGCCTTCTAGAAATCCCTGAATGGTTGGAGAACAAGGGGTTGAACATTGTGAATCATTGTCATCGGAGACTTCAGTTCTGAACAATTTGGAGTATTTGCTTAATAGGTGCATTAGGTACGCAACGATTGATTCCTTCCTTTTGTCTTCATCAGCCTGTGCTCTTTCTATGATTTTTCTCAAAGCCCTTCTTTCTCTAAGAATTGCACGTGAAGATGCGATACCAAGTCTAGAGGCAGATTGATGAAAGGTTTCAAGTTCATTGTTGTCATTCTCTTTGCTGTTGAACTTCCATCCTTGCTGAAGTAATGCAATTATATCATCACCGACTTGTTTCTCGGTGGGGTCAATTGAGAACTCAATACCCTCTAGTTCACTTAGAATTTTAGAAATCTGAAACAAAAGAGAGATTCGATCACTAATGCTGCCAAGCAGTGGTAACAGAGAACCCAAAAGAAATACGCAGAATTGAAGCATGAAACAGCAAAACACAAAAATGGCAAATAATTGTAACATATGGTGCCTAATACTCCTTCCCTCAGTCCCAATCGATTCTTGACAGAGAAGGAATCACATAGTTTAAGATAAATATAAGAATGTTGTTTATTTTCCATATTTGCACTAATAGTACAATGACTACAATCATTAAAGTAGAGTAGATGAAATAAAGGTGAGATATTATAGATGATGGGGTAAAATAGACAATTTTTAAATTTAGTAATGCCAAATTTGGAAGTGTAAACAATTGAATGAGACTGATTAAAATGGCAAGATTAAAAATCAAATGGGACGGAGGGAGTATTGCTTAATAAGAATGAGACAGTGCCAGTATGAATAATTTTTGTTTATCAGAAACCATTGTTTAAAAATTATTTTACCACCATATCTAGTTAGTGAGCTAAAAACAGAGTTAAATGTTACCTGACAGCCAATGGTTTGTGGAACTATATCTTCAACCCGGTGCAAACCATCGTGTAAAGCAGATCTTGCTCTCTCAAGTTTAAGTACAACAGAGTCTCCTGTTATTGCCTGATCAATGGGAAAACACTCTCCATTGCATCATATGACAGAATTACATTAAATGTGTTTGTTCTATAGTCCAAATTGACTAAGTTGAGGTACCACACAGTTAGACAAAGGCAAAAAGTAACCAGTTCTCTTGTAAACCCTGATGGCCAATAGATAAGGAGAGTGGCAGGTTGAAGATAACCACAGACACATAAACCAATTCAGAATATGAATCACCATATCTAAAAATAAGTGATGCTAAAGTCACTAACCAAGTTGCCACTGAATCCAAAAACCAGTTCATCTCAACAATGTAAAAAAACTGCTCTCCTTGTTTGTGGATTTGGTGGTGGCAAATTATTAGTGGCACAAACATTACTCTTACTAAATCATAAAAGGGTTAATCACATATCTCTCCCTCGATATTGATCAAATTACCAAATAACATTAAAGATTTCTGAAAATTACAGTTTTAACTAGTCAGATTTTCTACAAATGGCACTGAAGGATTATATAATATAACTCGATCTTTTTCATGATTTTTTTATAACCTAAACCATAAAAAAAATGAAATATACAAACGAAGTTAAAGAACTGACCAGGTAAAGCTTGCTGGATTCAGCACAGTGCTGAAGAATATTCTTTGTCTTTTCAAGGGCTATGTGCAGAGTACACAATGCTTGGATACCGGTAGTGCTTCTTGGCCGGGCTGCTTCCAGATCAGGAAATATGGCCAGCACTTTGACATAAATATCAGAAAGAATTTTGCACATTCCTCCATGTAGCTGCACTAGTTATCACATGTTCATTAGACACTCATCAAGCATTTAACCAATAAAACTCCAATAAATGACCAACTGATATTCAATTGAATAATTTATCTATGAAAAGCAAGAGATGATAAACTTTGCCAAAGTAATGAAATAAATCACAATAAGTTCACAAATGATATTTTTTATTCTCTGCATAAATGTATACAGCAAAGCGGTGATGAAAGAGTTTAAAATGGAATCCCATACAATAGAAAAATAAGAAAAAACTAGCTATTTGAAAATTATGTTTTGCAGGCCTGAGAAATACTCCATAAATTCACACAATCCAATCCAATTATTCAAATAATTAAATACAGGCAGCTTCCAACAAAGACATTTTTTAAAGAAAAAACTCAGCAGAAGCAATCAAGAATATACATCATGTCATTAATCATTATACCTTAGGTTCACCAATTGAGCACAAATTTATTTCAGCCTCAGAATCACCCATTCTTGCACATTTAACACTAGAGAACAACACTGTTCTGTCTTATCTGCAATATGAACAATCAGTATGAAATAAGACAATCATAAATTCATCACAGAACATGATAAAAACAGATAGTTTCTTTTTTATTAAGTGTTGGAAATGGAAAGACAAAACTAGACATCTCAAACCAGAAACAAACATGAAGTTACAGTGTGATCATTCCAAACCCCACAGCTATCCAAACAACTTTTCGAGGAAGAACACTCATGTTTCAATTTTTTTTTAGATTGAACATTTTAATTTTTTTAACTAAAAAAAGTACAAGTAATAAATACAGTAATTTGCAGCTGGGGTATTTTTAATTGAAAAAAAAAGAGAGAAGATAACTTCAAAATCCAATCATCAATTTAAAGGACATTTCTACCCTACTGATGAGCGATGAGCAGTGAAAACTCCCCATAAATGGTTCAATTCATTGAGAACAACCCAATAAAAATGAAAAAGATCTCCCAGATTGATATTTTTAGGGGCAAAATCCATAAAAAAAAACCTCTGGAACGAAAAGACATAGACAAATGGAGATTGAAAAGAAAAAAAACGTGTTCATTTATGATCATGAAAGTTAGGGTTTGAAGCTCGAAACACACCGAGATCAACAGAAAAGTATCTCTGGAAGCCTCATCAACGCAGCAACAGGAGAGAAATGTATTGTTCGCAGCAGATAATATGCGAATATAAACATATATATACACGATTGAGTTCAGTATTCAGATCAGAACATTTTTAGAGAGAGAAATCGTTTATCAGGATTATATAAGGAGGATCAAGGAGGGGAAGAGAAAAGGAGTATAATTGGAAGAGGAGCTTGGAATAGTTTTCTAGAGTAAATGGCTCCCTCCGTCCCACTGTCTTTGTCCACTTACCTTTTGACACACCATCTAATGCATTTCTTTAATCTAGTTTATCTAGTAATTTGTATATTAAAAAATTATAAAAATTATATATTAATAATCTATATGTTAAGACGAATCAAACAAGATCACACATGACTATTTTTAGGTTTACACATTGAGAGAATTTGATGAGTCAAAGTGCTTAGATGAACAGTTCCAAAAGTCAAAACTGGACAAAGACAATGGGACGGAGGTAGTACTTCTCATTTATTTTTAGAGAAATAGTAAGAATCACTTATGAAGTGTACAAATGGTAAAATTTTGTAATTTGAGACCTTTGTGTTTGTAGCTTTTTTTTCATAAATTTTATTTGTTTAAATAGAATAGAAATACCTAACTGAGACTAAAAGATTTGTTTTCTTCACTTGATCTGAATGATTTTGATCTGAGTGAATGAGTTCTAATCTGATTTAAATTAAAAATAGTTACATTTAAAGCTATTTCTAATCCAATTTGAAATAAACTGATTCCAATAAGAATAAGTCATAAATAAAAGAAATAAGTTGAAGAAACATACTCTAACACTAGCACACTTGCTTCACATATCAAAATAGAATTCTGAATAGACTTATAATATCAAAATATAATACCAAAAAAAGACAATGACAACTAATGATATTCTAGGATTTCTAGCCCAACACTTAGAATGCCAAATTCTTGAATTTCACTCGATAATATTTCTATTCATAAGATCAATACATAAGAGATTTTATTTTGATAAAAGTTTTATATTTTAGTCTTATTTAAATGATATTTTTTATTCGTGTACATTTTAAAATAGATTTATAAAACAAGCCATGATAAAACTATTTATTGTAACAAAATTATTAAAATAATTGAGTAACGAAAGATAATATATCTTGATCATCTCAGTAGTAATTGTGAAGTTTATTTCTTAGCTGAGGGGTAATCATTTTTACTTATAACGGAGTATATTACTGTGTTGACTTCACTCATTTTTAATAAACTAAAATCATATGAGTATACAAATAGTTATTAGAAATTATTTTAAGAAAAGTAAATGAGATTTATAAAAAATAAAGCCAAGTAATCTTAATTACTACGTATATGAATTTTTGTAAAGTAAAAATGAAATTATATTTTGAGAAAAATAAAAATAGAAAATGTTAAAAAAATTCAACAAAGGAGGGACTAGGGAGTACATAACTTGATGACTACGGAGTATCTCACTCAACAACAAAAGGGGTTCGCCGGTCAAATAAAACAAAAGAGCTTTCGGTCAAATAAAATAAAATTTCTATTACTAAAGAGAAAAGACATGAACGTATTAATGGTACACCGTTAGATTTTCTTTAGGGTCCATTTGGTATAAGGAATTGGTGGAATTGGAATTGAATTGGAATTGAAATTCCATGGGAATCAATTCCATAGAATTGAATTCTGTTAATTTCAATCCATTTTTTGCATTATCAATTCCAAATCCACATAATTTTTATGCTATCAAACACCAGAATTGGAATTGAAGTCCTCAATTCCAATTCCATAGTTTGAATTCCATGTACCAAACGGGACCTTAGAGGATGCGTTTGGTTTTATTTCTTTATCCCGAAAATAGAAAGTTGAACAAGAACAACCTTACAAGTTATTCCCTCCGTTCTAAAAAAGAGTTCCTATTTTGAAAAAGTGTAAAAATAAGGAAGTGTTAAATTGTACTCCAGTAGTTGACTTCCAATTTTACCCTTGATGTGATGGGGAAAAGTATGATGTGATGGATAGATTATTAGAGAAAAAGTATGATGTGATAGGTAAGGTATGAAAAGGTAAGGGTAAAAGTGGTTTTTTAATAGAAAGTGGAAGTGTTTTGTTGGAAGTGGAAAAAATGAAAGAGGAAGTGATTTTGAGAACGGAGAGAGTACAACACTACAAATACTTAATAAATCACTCTAAATATGACTAAAACAAAGAAAAAAATATTAAAATAAAAGTTTCATGTTTTTATTCTCTAAATAGAAGTTCGTACTGTAGTAATGTAACATTGTACATGTGCATTTCACGTAATGTACCTGATCATGATCAATAATGCAGATAGATTTTAATCCTACTTCGAAAATAAAAAACATAGAATTTCAATTTTGATATATTTTCAATGTTTTATTCTTAATTTAGTCTTTTTTCCAAAATACTTTTGAAGTTTGTGGTTTCAAATCTTCTCTCTATACCACATTAGCTTTAACCTTTTTTTTAAACTTACCTCATGGTTTTATTGAAAACGAGTTTGAAGTCCAGGACTTCAAACTTTTATTTTTTATTTTTTAATACACTTTTTGTAAAAGCAAATTCTTAAGATATCATTAATTAATTAATTTAAATCAAAGTAATCTATTAAATTAAAAAATTACATTCAACAAAAAAAGTATATTAATTTTTTTTTAAAAAAAAACTACCCTAATAAAAAAGATTTCATTAATAACAACATAAATAAAAACTCCATTACTTGAACGACTAAAAAAGCTTAAATAAAAGTTACATATAATTCAAAATAAAAAAAAGTTACATAAATTTATTGATTACCGCCATGCATCAAATAAGATTCTTGAAATTATTAAAACATCATATTTAGTTAGAAATGACACTCATACTGATTTAAAGTTGCATGGTTCCAAAACTACTCCCTCCGTCCCATTTTATAACGCCTATTTTGACTTTAAGCCATATTTAAGGAAGGAAAAAATTAAAGTTAGCTTTCCAAAATTGGCCCTCACTTAAGTTTTTTAAGGTGGGTAGGAGTAATTGCATGGGAGGGTATTTTGGGAAGTCCACACAAATAATCATACCAAATAAGGAAACAGGCATATCATTTTGGAACAGACAAAAAAGAAAAACAGACATTATAATATGGGACGGAGGGAGTAAGATTTTACAGTTCAAAAATCAGGTTTGTGGAAAAATTCTTAGATTAGATGGTACCTATCTCGGTACCAGGGTACCGTCACGGAACCTTGGTACCATTCCAAATGGTAGAAAACATTCTATTTAAACATTTTAATCACTAGATATATACTCCCTCCGTCCCCAATTTGATTACAAATTGCGGGTTACGGAGTAAAATTTTTTACTTTTTGAAATCATTTTATTTATAAATCGGTATATCAATAAGATATAAAAATTACATATTAAAAAAACTACGTCAAAAGTTTTATAAAATAAGAGGTGGCAAGAATATTATCAAATACTTAATGAAATCGCGTAAATAAACAAAAGTTGTCGAGAAGAGAGAGAAAAAAAATTGTAATTTATTTAGGGACGGAGGGAGTATAAGGACTTTGGGCTAAAATAGAGGTTTTAGAAATTATTCAATGAAACTTCAAGCGAGGATTGTGATTAGCTCCGGCAACCTCACATCCCCTAGATACCACCATTGCACTCCTCACACTCCAAGGGACGGAACAGAAGGAAAAATTGAAAAAATTGGTGAGGAAATGAGGGAGTTGGAGTGGCTTATTTACGAGAAGCTTGGAGGAAGACGTCAAGCCGGTCATTGTGCGATCGGCATAGTGCGTAGGTTGGCGATTCAGTGCGATACCGGAGAATTTCACACACAGTTCCCCGATTGGGACTAACATTAGTCCTAGTCGGGGTACACTCTTTTGTCTAACTTTTTCCCAAATAAAATCCGATTGCACTGTTGCAATCAGTCAGTCAAGTTCTGCACAATAGTATAATTTTTATATTTATTTATAATACTTTAAGCTTATTGTTTTTGAGAAATAATAAAACTATTTTTTAAATTACAAAAATAAAATGGTAAAATGCATATTGTACAATAGTTATTAGAAAATGGAAAGTTTTTTTCAAAATAAATAGTATCTAAATGTAAATAAATGAAATCTTTATTAATTATTGAAAAATTAAAATATTAATTACCAAAGTTTTTAGTTCAAAATTTATAAATTTTTTGAAAAAGAATAAAATGAAATAAATGGTCACTGGATAGTTTTAAAAAGTTATATAATATTTTTTTGTATTAATAAAGTTTATACAATCTTTTTAGAATGATGCATCATGGGGTGAATTTAGTTAACGAATTGTATATAGTGTTTTAGCGGGGGTGGCTATCTATACCCATTTTTATTATATACTACTCGTAAGAGAAATAAAAATTGATGCAAAAGTCCATAAGTGGTTACTATAGTCATTAATAATACCAGAGTATAAAAATGATATGTACACCAAGCCAAGAATTATTGGCATGTTTTCTAGAATCGTCCCTCTCATGTCTAGTCATGTTTATTAGCTATTTTCAACTTTTGTTGAAGAGTGCTTCTTATAACATAGGGTCTATATAAAAATGGTTGGACATTATATACTTTCTCTATCTCAAAAAAGTTTTTTTTAATCTCTTATTTTGACGTCTCAAAAAAAGTTTTAATTTTTTCATTTTAGAACACTTTAAATGATTCATACTCTTTCTTTCTTCTTTGCATCACTTTTGACCACGTATTTTCACTATATACTTAAATTTTGTGTCAAGTCAAATTAAACTTTTTTTTGGACGGAAAAGATAGGATTAACGGATTCTTCCAACATACTTCATGAACAATGGTCAAACATCATCCATTTTCACCCTCTAGAGATATGAGCTTTGCTAGTAGGCAGCATTCCTTGCAACGCTCTCCACATAAAAACACGTACATTAGGTGCAACGATTGGCATTTTGTATACGTACATATATAGTATGAATTTGACATTTTATTATTCTTATTAATAAAGTATTAATTATTCTAAAAAATTACGGAGTAATTGATAGAATTTACTCACCTATTTTCCCCAATTTTTTTCATCTTGCGTCTCTTC